TATATCCGTTAGCAAAGTATGCGAAACCTAGAGATATGTTTTTTTCTCAAGACCTTGCTGGTTGGCAAAGCCATACCTGGTGCCCTATGTCTCATGATGTCTAGCCAAAAAGATAGAGAGCTAAGGACTTGTATTAGCATGCTACAGAATGAAATGGTTAGGTAATATTCTTTTTACAAAATTAGTTATGTACCCAATCTTAGATATAGTCTTATAAAGAAACCATATACAATTTAAAAACTATAATAACATCCAAAAAAAAAACCCAAAAATTGACAGTTGTCGATTTTTTTCAATTTAATGGCTATTTTTTGGTTTATTTGTGTGTAAAATACCTATTGTACTATGGATTTGAGAGAGAAAAATCATATCTACAAACTGTTCATTTTGACATTAATATTAAATTGCCAAAAAACCAAATCAGATCCATTTTCTCTTTTCTTGCTAGTGCTTTCTTGATGTTGGAGCAAGAGGAGCTTCCATTGAAGCTGAGTCTCAAGTCCAACTATATTTTTCAACTATGATCTACAATTTTCAATATTTCACCTTCGATTTCTTGTTCTAAAATCGTGCTTCTATTCATATTCGCAGCATCTTCTAACACCTGGTTGTAAGAGTGTGCTTCAATATTTAATTGATATTGACTCCTAAAATTGTTGGCTTGCAACCGATGTCTAACAACCAGCCTCTGCATCTCTGGTGTATAAAAAATCCTTCTATATCCTGTATCTATAACTTCATTAATTACGTCCACATAAGCTTGGTTGCGTAGACGGTTGTGGTACACTTCTTCGTCTACAGGGATTAGGCCATTGGATCCCATTTGGAACCCTCCCCATGTATCATTACTCTGATCGGGTTGCATCCTAAACATTAATTTAACAGGTTAGTTAATAACAAAACAATTTAATGAAACCTTAAAACTTGCTCTGATACCAACTTGTCAAGCCCTAACTTACGGATTTATGAAACCTTGGGTTAAGATGTGATTCACACCTTAATTATAGGATTTAATAACAACTATAACTAAAATGTGAAGAAAAATTTAAAGAAATAAAATAAATATTTCACATAAAATATTCAGCGGAAATGACAACATCTGAAATCTTAAAATTTTTACATTATTTTACAAGTTAGAACTACTTAAGAGTAGCTCATTATTCATCCACAAGCTCTGTACATAATACACTCTACAGATATGCCAAAATCATCCCAAACTTTAGATTTCAAGTTCAGTACCTGCAAAATCTGTTAGGAGGTGAGCAAAACCACAGCTCAGTAGGGATATAAACCTTTTCACGGTAAATTGATATAACTAAATTAAGTGACATACAATCACACAGTCAAATATCACATTATTAATAATAATGCATGAATGCTCTTCATCTACTCCCGTTAATTCATATAATTGGACAAGCAGACCTACGCGTACCATACCATGATTATACCACTTGGTCCTGAATGCCCATTTATATGAACTAACCCCCATCTCAATTATCCCATAAATCCCATTTTGGTAGTCATCTTGTCTAACTCCTTGTCGCCAGTCCCGTATCACCCAATAAAAATCATGTGCATTGTGCGACCCCTGAGATCTGGTACTTGCCAAGAGCTAGACTCAACTACACAAAATATTATTTCCATTACCCTCTTTTCCCCATTATTTTCTCAATCCAACAATTCCAACCAATTTCTATGACATGATATAATTATGCCTTTCACATATCCTATATATCTCACAACAATGTAACCATTTAAAATATCACCAACGTATATATAATTATGCCAATATTGTTTAAATAGTTAAAGAATATGTAAACACCCAATACAAGGAACGTCAACCAAACTGTAATACAATGCATAATATAATGCTCACAAAATTTAATTAAATCAATCTCTGTAAAAGGCGTCCAAGAAACCCCTACCTCGATTCCAAAGCTAGCTCAAAGTTGAAGAAAAGGGAAATTGGCGGCTTTACCCCTGGCTCACCTAATTTATTCACTAATATCCTTATTTTGAAACCCAATTACAAATGCCCCTTATAAAAACTCCTTATTGACAGCCTATTGCCCATCTTTCACTTTTATGTAGTCGTTCTGAGCTCTCTCAAATCCTCTTTCACGATCTCACTCAGCCCTCCTCTCCTTTCTTATCTCTTTCTTGCTCGCACCCACATCGACGACAATCACTGTCACCTCCCCAGAAACCCTAACCCACATCGGCGACGACGACCTTTCCACCTCCATTTCTCACTCTTTGTCACCTCTTTCGACCTCCATGCCTAGAGATGGCGCCTCAGGTAGGCAGCTTGGCTTTTCTCCTACACATTTGGGTTTTCTTCTCCTTGTTTCAATTTCATATATGGGTTTGGATTTTTGGTGCTTGATGTGAGTTCAAGTCCCTCCAAGTCAAATTTAGGTGAGATGGTACAGAAATTTGTTGAAACATAATTGTGGGTTTAATTTAAAATTTTACTCTCTTTGTTTTCAATTAATATTTTCAGCTTGTGTAGAGAATGTTATTTCAGTGGGATTATACAAGAACTTTTTTAACCAAAATTTTGAGATTGTGCAACAACTATTTCTCAGTTTGTCTTAGGGAATATTATGCTTGAAGCTTGTCCAATCTACAATGATTTTGAAGATTTTCTTTTGCTTATTGAATTTAATTACTGAGTTAGGTTTTTATTCTGACAAAAAACAATTGAAGAAACAGTTATTTGGTTCAATAATCTAAATTTGTTTGTTCTGTTTTGGGATGTGATTTTTTGAATGAACTACGTAAATTGATTATGTCTTGAGGTGGAGGATATCTCCAAAAGTGACTGTGGAGTTTGTAAGTTTTATGAGAATGCCAATATTTTAACAGAAGTTTGATATTGTAAAGTTGGCATATGTTGGATTTTGGTTTTCTCTATTTTTCGTAATTCAATCTTGGATATGTTTTTGGTGCAGTCTATAGTCCTCAAGGTTGGTATCATGCCAAGATTGTGTTGGTGCCGTGAAAAGGGTTCTTGGAAAACTTGAAGGTTTGACAGCTCTTGCATTTATCTAGTTCCATTGTCTTGCTCTTCTTCTTCTCTAAGACTGTGCTTCTTTAACTGTTTCAGCAATGCCAAATGCACTATTGATGATTTCCTAATTTGTATTTTTATTCGCCTGCCAAGACATACATTCACTTCATCCATGTTTATAATAACTTTTATATTGCAATTGAGTAGTACGAAATCGTGTGCATGAATGTGAACTTTAATTTTGCAATGGTACTGTCTTGTGAAAGTTTTCTATATGAAGAATTGGGTCATTTAAAAAGGCCAACAATCTGTATGAAGATAGGATTCTTGAAGGTCGTCCTTCATTGGCGAAATCACAAATAGATTTCTCAGAGGTGTATGATACTTGTAGTGCATGTAAATATGTCTGAACTTGTTTTGGTATTGGTTTTGAATATGTTTTGGTATTGGTTTCTGTTATGAATTTTGGAATTGGTTTCTATTTTGAAATTGGTTTCAGTCGTGATTGAATGTTATGTTTTTGTTTCCATTGTGATTGAATGACTTGCTTCTAATATGCATTTTTGATTCATTTTATAAAGATGGAAGATTGTCTTGTTTCAAGTGGCAGCGTTCTCTTGGGGAGGAAATTGCTAACTTTCAGACTAAATTCGGTTCTAAGAGGAGATGTCGTCAAACTTTGCTAATGTGTTAAAATTCCCGACCAAGAGGAGATGTAAATTTTTTATTTTTTGCCACTTTCTTATGTATATCTTAAGATGTAATGAGATAACATTGTTAGTTCATCAATTTATGAAAGTCAAGTTAGAAGGAAATTTGTCAATCTCTAGTTTCCATGGTTTTATCGTTCCCCTTGCAAAGAAGAAAAAAATACAAATGTAACCAAATAAATGATTTAATTGGCAAATGCCATGACAGATATGTATTGCATATGTATTGCACATGTATATCCCTTTATTGCGCGTGTATTGCCATTGTGTTGCCTTTTATTGCTTGTGTATTGCTACTGTATTGCCCCCGTATATCTTTTTTTTCTTCAAGTCTGTGTTGGAATAATTTATAAGGGGAGTATGGAGTTTGTGTATTACCATTGTATAGCCTTTTATTGCTTGTGTATTGCTATTGTATTGTCCCGTGTATTATTATTTTTTTTTTCAAGTCTGTGTTGGAATAAATTTATAGGAGTATGTGTATTGCTATTGTATAGCCCTTTATTGCCTATATATTGCTAGTGTATTGCCTCCGTATATCTTTTTTTTCTTCAAGTCTGTGTTGGAATAAATTTATAGGGGAGCATGGAATTTGTGTATTGCCATTGTATAGCCTTTTATTGATTGTGTATTGCTACTATATTGCCCCCGTATATCTTCTTTTTTCAAGTCTATGTTGGAATAAATTTATAGGAGGAGCATGTGTATTGCTATTGTATAGCCCTTTATTGCTTGTATATTGCTAGTGTATTGCCCTCATATATCTTTTTTTTTTCAAGTCTGTATTGCAGGTATGAAGGTGGGGATGGGGATGCAAATGGCATACCCACCCCCGATTCGACCCACTGAATCAGAAAATTTGAATACACAATATAGGCCCAAAAATGACATATTTTAATGACAATATAGCACATAGAATACGCAAATACATACCAAATTAAGAAAATTTAATATAATTCACAATCCACAGAACACCGAACCCAATACAAAGACAATTCAAATTCACACTCCATAACAAACCAACACAATTCATAATGTATGTCCAACATTAGGTAGTAGAACATTGTTTTTATAGGTGCTTTTATTGCGTCCTGTGCCACTGCACCTTCAGCATTTTCTCCTTATGATATCCTCTCCTTGCGAGGGAATCCTTAACTTCTTTCGTCGGCCTGGCATGACCTTTGCATTGGGAGGACGCACAACTCTACTTTGGACATCTTCAGGAATAACACACAGCTCTTGAGGCTATACTGGGTAGATGGTATCTGAATAAGCATCTAACCATGTATTTCGAGTGTATTTCGAGTGTAATAACGAGAAGCCATGGAGTATACATTTAGTTTCAAGAAACGACAAACTGCAACTACATGCTTGCAAGGTAGTTGCTCAAGTTGAAACTTCCTACAACTGCAAGTGTTATTCGTCAAATGTGCGTGGTTGTCCATATTACTGTCCACGACATTGTACTCTACGTGATTCAATTTCACGACATTCATCCTTGAAGCACATTCCAACCTGCGTCTTAGCTTCTTCTCGCCAAAGTCAGGGTACAATGTTGATGTACATTTCAAAGCAAAATCACGATGTTTACTGAACCATTTCACAAGCAGATTGATGATTTCATCAATCAAATGCACCACTGGTGGCATCCTTGTGAACCGAAGGACGGAGTTGATTGACTCCGCAATATTTGTTGTCATTACATTGTATCGACGTCCATTCATGTGAGCTCTAGACCACTTGTGTAATCCTACACTTTCAAGATATTGAGCAACCTCATCATTTCCCTTGATCTTGCGAAAATGACGATCAAATTCAACAATACCATAAGATTTCGTAGCTTGTTCAAAGTATAGCAATAATTTATCACGTTTTTTCAATTTGAAAGTGTGTTTCATGTTCCCCTTCATATGGTAAAAGCATATGCCATGTTGTGCCGTTGGAAAAACGTTGTGCCACACATTCTCTATGCTAATATTCTGATCAGAAATAATCACAAGATTTGGACACTCACCAATGGCTTTATGAAGCTTACTGAAAAACCAATGCCATGATGCATCCGTCTCTAAATCCCCAATTCCAAGAACAAGAGGATATATATTTTGATTTCTGTCAAATGCATTGGCAACAAAAAGGACACCCTTATACTTACATTTTAAATGCGTGGCATCCACAACAATGATTGGCCACATCGAAGATTGAAACCCTCTAATACATGCCCCAAGAGCCATAAAAAATACAAAAAGTGACTGTTCTCATCGGTGTGGATGTATGTCTTTGTGCCAGAATTCACACACTCTAATTCATGACAATAAGCTGGAAGGAGTGAATATGCCTCTTCTACTGAACCTCTAGTGGACATTAGAGCTAGCTCCCTCAATCTCCAAGCTTTGCAATAATTAATGGTGACACCAAAGTTTTGTTTTAGATCTCTGATTATATCACTTGGTGTGTATATTGTGCGAGAATCTTTCAACTTCCGCTTCACTGCATTACCAACGAGTTTAGCACTTGCATGACGATACTTGTCATGTATAAAACTCATATTACATTCATGCACTACTACAAAAAAGGAAAAACACGACGGTAAATCACCGTCGTGTATTATGTTTTCAAATGGTCGTGGAATCCACCGACATCTTTTCCATAACCAAACCACGACGGTGAATAACCGTCGTTGTTAAAACAAAAAACGTCATCAAAAAATAAAAACCGACGTCTTTGTGCTGCAAAAAGACATAAAAAAAAGGGTCGAGGATGAGAATAGACGACCAACTCCAACAAAAAAACGTCGTTAAAAAGGAAACAGATGACATATATTAACAGAACATGGCCGCAAGATAAACATACAACGACGAGAACTTAAACTTGACGCCGTTAAACAAATATTTAACGACAAATATAAATACGACGTCTTTACAATAATAATAGACGACGTTATTGACACCTACTACGTCACAACATTTCCCACAACCGTCGTAAAATAAATTTTCCACTTCGATTTTTCTATGAATTATGACGTGGAAATAGATCTCAGGGTCATTACTTACGACGCATGTATTTACAGAGACGACGTTGAATTGATAAATAACGTCGGTTTCAAATAAATGAGAGCCGTATTACAGAATTTATACGTCATATTTTGAAAATAAACGACGTGGAAAAAATGATGGGGTCATTAATTACGACACAGTAATTTATAAGGACGACGTTGTCGTCTATATACAACGTCGATACCATGAAAAAGACCGTCGTGTTTAATAATTTATACGTCTTCATTTAAAAAATTGACGTCGTCTAATGCATATATCTTAACGTCGACAAGTTTAATGGACTTCAAATACCGTCGTAAAATAAATTTTCCACTTCGATTTTTCTACGAATTATGACGTGGAAATAGATGTCAGGTTCATTAATTACGACGTATGTATT